GAGGCAAGTCATGCAAGAAGAAAGAAAACAGAAAAGGAGAAAGAACAGCGCCTTGAGGGACACCAGCCTCAGTAAGCAACGAAGTGGACATAAGCCCACCAGCTCCGCCGAGGCGGATTCGAACCACCGACCTAAGGATCAGTGCTTGCTTTAACTTTCTCTCTCTCTGTCTCTGGAAATCTATAATATGACTGAAATGTTTTACAGTTTATGTATCGAATCTAAATGGTAAGCGATTCAATCAAATAAATTTCGATTTCTTTCAATAGGCACACAACAGATGCATCTAATGCCCTAGAGGTAGAACTACATCTTTTCAAAAGAAATCTTCATCCAAAATGGATTCTGGTTAAGATTCATGGACAACAATATCAAAATAAAAGTTCAGGGAAATAAAAACATTACTTGTTCCGAAAACTAAGCTTTACGTGAATCTGGGATATCATTAAGAGAAGAATATTCTCCATAACAACGCTAAAAGTGGTTTTCTCCTATTATTCAGAAGTCTTAGTGACAAGATCTCTCATTTGACTACTTCAGTGTGCATTTACAGATCAGCTCACAGTTTCTTTTGCAGCCGGGTATATTGGTCGTTTGACGCATATCCTGTCTAAAATGGGTTAAAAAACACTATCCCAAATGGTTGCAGGACGGCAACAATGGCTCCAAAAGGAATGGGATAATCAAACACCTTGTCAAAACTGGTCGTTCCATCTCAACAAACGCCTCCTCCTTCAAAGTAACCTACAAAGTGATGAGTAACCTGCCTAAGACAAGCAGTACGCTTTAGTTTTGAGGTTGCATTGCTGAAGTTTTAGTTATTCAGTTAGAGAAACCGTAACTATGCATACAAAAGAAAATTATTCAACAAATTGTACTATCATGGTAACAACCTTGTTGACTTTTATTATAAGTGTTTCTATGTGTATTACATATTAGTTTGTTTATTAGATATATCACACACATAGTGAAACAGTATTACTGCTTACTGGATGACAAGGTTTCGAACAAAATTTATTGTGGTTCATAATCATATCAATTAGAATCACACGACTTCGAAACTTGAGTTTTATAGTTTTCTTTGTCCTCTCCTGTTTGTTGTAGTTGGGGTAGTTTAATTTTCCAGATATCTGGGTGGACAGGTGTTGAATCATTCCTGTTACACGTGTTTGCAGTTGCTTCGATAAACAAAGCTTCCGTTATCAATCTCTCCCTCCACCCTATTACATAAGATTTTGAAGCTGTCATCTTATCCCATCCATCCTATTGTATGGTTGTGTGTAATTGCAGTAAATAATACTGTTTCACCCTGTGTGTGATATATCTAATAAACAAACTAATATGGAATTACTTACTAGCACAACGCCCAAGTTTTAAACACATATTTCTATGTGCTTCCTGATTATTACTCAATCATTGAATGTTCACCTTATTGCGTAACTCTTATACACTTATTTAACTCGTCCCATGAATTGAATAACACTAACAGTTGTAATTATGACAACTCAACACTTTTGTCACTACCCCTTTTCATGAAGTAGAGATTGTACATAAATGGGGATTGTACAGTGGGAGAGGGGAATAAATTCGCCGAAAACAGAGTCTCTTCACTGGACTACGTATTTCTTTTTCACTAAAAGATTTCAACACTGTTTTAGGCATTTCTGTGTATTGTACAAATTTTAACTGGTATTCCACATACATATTTTGTTATGGACAACTCCATAAATGTTATAAATGTGTTAAAGCAAAATGTACTACATCTCCCCTCTCTATATTTAGTTGAAATTACGGTTAGATGTTGTCGAATTATGATACACGGATAATGATATTATTTGCTTGTGGCCAGCAATAGAATCCTATTTTGGGACTCTTCAATTGAAAGTACCTGTATCCTTAACAAACGACAGTGTTCTAACTAATACTCGTGTTCATCTACCCATCGATCACAACAGACGCCACAGCGTTATCCGCCAGGTCAGTAGGCCACAGCGTGTTAACAGATATATATACTGGTCTAGTTGTGTTCTCTGAGGTGGATGGTTTACTTGAGACGCTTTCGTTGCTTTAATAGTATTGTATTATATTATTGTTTCCTTTAATTCCTAGAGGAACATAGGGCTTCAGCCGTGCGTCTCCATTGCGTTCGCTTCTCTGCTAGAGTATTCATCTGGCTCCATGTCTGCCCACATGTTTCATCTCCTCTTCACATGACCTCCTCCAAGTCACCCTTCCACTGACGACCAACTCGCCGCTTCCCTTTCGGGTTCCACTCAAGCAATGGCTTGACTAGTGATGTCATTTGATGGTTTCTTCAGAGTATGGCCAGCCAATCTATCTCCATTTCTTCCTGCCTATTTGTTGCACAATCGGTTCCTGCTGGGTTGGTGCGCTCATTGCCAGAGATCTCTGTTGCTGATCATTTCTGGCCAGCCATCTGATCTTGAGTATTGAGCAAAGACAACTGTCAATGAAGGTGTGTAGTTTGTTTGAGATGCTCTTTATGACGTGCCTTAATGGACAACATCTTCAGCGCATACTTCAGTTTGAAGTGAGCTTTTAAATTTCCCCACGAATTTATTGGTCAACTTTCCTAGTAACCTTGAACTTTGTGATTGGTTGTTTTGGCGTGTTTTTTTTTTGCTTTTGCCAAGAGAGGAACTTCACATGAATCTGGATATCAAGGGCGACTCACTTCAAATTGAAGTATGCACTGAGAATGCTTCCTAATAAGACAATAAAAGCCCCACAAGAAAACCATCCAGCTCAGGGAAAACAGCTACACCGAAATCTTTAAATATTCCCATTGTTAATATTAGAACAAGACATATCAGCGAGCAGTATTGTTGTTTTCAGTTAGATCTCATTTAGGCTTTACTCTAATTTACATGGCCTTGTAAGGAAATAACACGTAAATACCATGTATAATAAAGAGAAACTGACATCAGTTAAAAGGAAACAATTGTTCTTAAAACTGCAATTCAAATGGGAGCCATAAAAAACGCACTTATACTGCCTCCGCCCTTTGTTTGTCATTTTCCAACCGGCCAATTATGATTGCTCAAGCGTAAAACAAGTTGCGTAGCTGTGCCACTTCTATGTGTATCCACAAATTTAGCACCTTCTGTGGAGAAATCTGGCTGTATAGAGGCGAACAAATAGACAACTCAACAAGCGCATAACTTAAGATCTTCGATCACAGTTCGGAAAATGCCCAGTGATTTCTTTACGATGTTTTTTTTTGATTGATGGCGGTCACCAAGTGGACAGAATAAGTGCCTTCAAGGTTATTTATCGCATTCCATCGAACCTCTCAATTCGAATTCGAACCTGGATTTTTAATCACATAGTCGAAGCTATGAGAATTCGAGACAGAAATTCTAGTTCTACCTTTGTCTCTCCATTTAGCCTGGTTAAAGTCTAATTAAAACCCTCCCACTCTTTCTTATATTCCAGTTCCTTCATATTTATCTTGATATTTATCTAAACTTTGATTATGTCTACCAATTTCACATTGAGTGATTACGTAACTTTTAAGATTTGACCTAGTTTATTTATTTATTGAATTGTCTACAAACAGACATGTTACCACCATTGTTATTCTTATCGCCACCTGTATAAACCTTATTTGATAATGCAACACAAAGTTCATTCAAAGTTCTATAACAAAAATAATGATAATAAGGCTTATGATGACAATTGGGACGAGTGAAATAATACTGGGGACAATTCAAAGTGTGAATCATAACAATAACAATTGACATTGTATGAAGGATTTCATCATGAGCTGACATCAGTTAGAGAACCACTGGAAAACCTGGGAGTACTGGACAGCTGTTTCGTCCTAGTTTGGGACTCTTCAGTAGTACGTACCCACTAGAGTTGTAACCTAAGTTAGAATTCAAAGGCCATTAGATTGGGTCCCAGTGGCTCAATGGTCTACGAGCTCGCCTTGTAACCAGAATGTCCTGAGTTTGAACCCCGGTGGGTGCGTTCTACTGATGAGTCCCAAACTAGGACGAAACAGCTGTCCAGTACTCCCAGGTTTTCCAATGGTTCTCTGACTGATGTCAGCTCATGATGAAATCCTCCATGCAATCAAACAAAAATCCCTACAAAACCAATACTTGAAAACTGACATTGTAATAAGGGAAGAGTATACAAAGTAAATAAACAAAACGAAAAAATTGGTAGTCAAAATATTATTAGGAATTACCATACTTTAGCATAGAAAGATTAAGAGCATGAAAGTTGGAGGGGTTGAATGAACTTTTTCTGTATACAGAGATGTTGCTTTTCTGTTTCGATAGCCAAAGCTTCAGCAATACAGATGAGTTGGGTACGTGGTGATTTGGGTATATTACTTTTCGCATTTTAGATAACTTTAATGACTTAGGACCAATTCGTTAGGTATCTGTATCGAAATAGAGAAGCCAGATCGCGGTAGACAGGGAAAGTTCATTCAACCCTTCCAGATTTTATGCTCTTAATGCCTCTATGCTAAAGTATGATAATCCCTAATCAATTTTTTGGCTCTACTTATTTTTCGTCTTGTTTATTCACTTTGTGTACGCTTCCCTTATTACAATGTCAATTGTCCCAGGAGTGCGTCGGTGGTATAGCGGTTACGATGCTCGCCGACCATGCACATGGTCCGGGGTTCGATCCCCGCCCGACGCACTCCTTTACCTCACTAAGCCAGAAATAATGCTGGTAAACAGAAAAGGTTGGGCATGAGGTTAGCAACCTCATCCTGTAAAATAAACACAGCTACAGAAACTTCAAGCCACAAGCTTGAAGCCCTATGTTCCACTGGGGAACGTGAAGGGAAAAAACATTGTCCCCAGCATTATTTCACTTGTCCCACTTGTCATTATATATCTTATCATCATTATTTTTGTTGCTCCAGAATCATCCACCTGAGCTACAAATCTTCTTTATTATACATATGTATATATGTAGATATGAAAAACTTCGAATACTTGTACAAAGAAACCTACCTAGTATTTCATGAAATGTTATATGTCCGCTGGCGTAAAGTAATAACATTGTATAAATCCAACTTTTACACATTGCCAGTTGAACAGAATACTAACCGTGAAAGATATATTTGTTAAATGTGAGGAATACACGAAAGTGATATTTGTGATTCTGTTCTTATCGTTCTTATGTATTACAACAAATTAGTTTATATGTGATATTGAACGTTGAAACGTTGCTGTTGCTGTTGTTGTTGTTGTTTATAATGAAAGTTAGTGGTGGCTAATGCCGCGTGTGTGTTTCCTTTTATGGATGGAACTACTACTACTACTACAGGTGTTACTTGATTTGTTAAGTTACACAGAACCAATTAGAAGTAATCAAACTGGGTTTAATCCATGACACAATTCCTTAATCAATCAATCAATCAATCAATCGATCGATCAGTTAATCAATCAGTCAGTCAGTCAATTCACAATGATTACATCACTGGTAAATCTCTTCCTCATTATTCCTAATTTATACAAGATTGTTACTTAATCAACATAGGCTATTGCACTGTGACTACAATTATGACTGCAAGTGAACTAAATTTCTATTGGTTAATGGCATATTTTGAAGGTTATATGTCTATGCACCGTTTTTATTAAAGTGTTGTGTAATATGAATGATAAAATTCATTCTGTTATCGAAAAAAATTACAAGTAGGTGTATGAATTAGTGTCACCTTGGCTAGTTGACTGGTTGACTAGCCACATGACTAATTCGTCCTAAATAAATAACGCACAATTTGTTGCTTGTCTAATTGAAATCATGACTAGAGAAATTACAGAAGTGCGTAATCTACGTTACTTACTTGATCTTACCAAACTCACAGTGAATATATCTTAAAAATATAGATTGTGTTTTCATCTTGACTAGCTCTGACCTACTTCATGTACACCTCCTGTAGTTCAATGGATGCTGCCTAGTTCAGATAAGTCAATGAGACTACTTTAGTTATACGACATAACATAAGAAGTAGAGACAACAGAATAAGAACGTACCAGTGAACTTCAACGCATACCATTTGTTGGATTAGAGAATCTGTCATGTTTTTTACATCGAAAAGCGACTTATTTATCAGAAACAAATTAACATTATAATGATGACGACAATGAAACACATTAAAGCTGATATTTTACTCTGACATAAGTGAAAAATAATTCTCAATTACTTCATTTTTTATTCTCCTTTATGAATATGAACAAATCAAGAACAACAGTTTTAGCAGAATAAAATGGTACCAAACAGCTTCAGACGAGCTGGGATAATATGCTCTGAAGAGAAATTACAGGAGGAATTTATGATTCTTGAAAAGATGTTGAAAAGCGACGGTTACCCTCAGAGATTTATCAGCAAATATGGAAGACGTATTATTCACTTGGCTCCACGTCTGCCCACATACTTTTATCTTCTCTTCACATCACCTCCTGCATGTCACCCTCACACTGACGATCAAATCACAGACTTCAATCCGCGTTCCAATGGAGTGATGGCCTGGCGTGTGATGTTGCTTGATGTTTTGTTTTCTCAGAGTATGGCCAATCCACCTCAATTTCTTCCTGCATATTTGTTGCACAATCGATTCCTGCTGGGTTTTTTCTCTCCCAGAGATCCTTCGTGCTGATTATTTCTGGCCGTCTATCTGATCTTGAGTGGTACTGAGCGAAGACAGCTGTTGATGAAGGTGTGTAGTTTGTTCGAAGTGTCCTGCGTGATGCGCCAAGTCTCTGATCTGTATAGTAAGTGGCACTGACTTCACATTGCAGTTGAAAATCTGCATCTTATTTTTCATGCTGAAGAGTGTTGTTAATCTATCTCCACACAGACTGAAGAGTAATGGGAGTTTGCCTTGCCTTCCGGATCCTCGCTTTGATATCCTCATCACTTCTGTCCACCTGTATTTGAAACGATGTTTCCCGTATATGTTCCAAAAAACCTCCCAATTTCTCATAGGAGTCTTCAAACTCATGTTAAACCGATTTCTGTACATAAAGTCATCCAGATAACTGTATAGCATTGGATTTCTTGATCCATTCACCGATCTGATCCGTTTTTTTAGGTGACTTCAAAAGCTTTCGATGGAATTAGTGTGAATTCCATCAAAAGGATTGCGAAAACCGTTTGTGTGGTTGACTGCATGATGAATATAGCCGAGATTTGATAAGTGATCGTAACTACTCCATTAATCTGTATGAATATTCGTCCGAGGCAGCACTAATCGCTGGGTAATAGGTAATAATACATTTGCACTCTGATTAGGGATTGCTTTAATGTATCCTTTGCGGAGGGTGGTGTCATATCTATTTCTGATTTGCCCGTAATCTCCCTCGATTATATTTTCTTTTTATCAGCACTGTCTCATTCAACGTGAACAACCACACCAACTCCGCCAAGTACTTGCGCAGCCTGTTCATTTTCCAGGATGATACGTCTCTGCAGTAGTGGTACCATTGCACTGCAGATACTTCTGAATTTTGTGTTTCGTAAGCTGTTGCTGAAACTGGTCTTTTCAGTAACCAGAGATGACAGATCATTAAAATTTTTGTTAAAGGTAATTTAGACTTTGAGAAAAAAGTGCCTAAGGAATCTGCAAACTAAAAAAGAACGACATACCTTCTCGAACTGATTTTCTACTTCGGCACTCACTGCACTTGTACACAAACCCAGCAATGCAGTTTGTGTATTTTTGTATACGCATGACACCTCCACACCAAAATGAGGATAAAATGGACAAACACAAAAAACTTGGAGGATCTGGACTTCGCCGATGATATATGTCTGATTTCCCACAAATTGGAAGATATGCAAGCGAAAAGCAACAAGTTGGCAAAAGAAGCATCAAGGATAGAACTTCAGATGAACATAGAAAAACGGAGTTGATGAAGGTTCCTCGGCAACACCACCACCAGCATCAACAACAACAGACAACGATCAGCATAAATGGAAGGAACCTGAAAGAAACAACCTCCTTTACCTATTTGGGAAGCATCGTTTCAACTACAGGCAGACGGAACTGACGAGGATATCAAAGCAAGAATCGGAAAAGCAAGACAAGCTTTCACCACTCTCAAGTCTGTGTGGAGGTCAACAACTCTCAGCATCAAAAATAAGATCCGGATTTTCAACTCCAATGTGAAGTCAGTACTACTCACTATACGGATCAGAGACTTGCACTGCGTGTCATAAAGCGCATCTCAAACAAACTACAGACCTTCATTAACAGTTGTCTTCGCTGAATACTCAAGATCAGATGGCCGGCCAGAAAAGATCAGCAACAGAGATCTCTGGCAATGAGCGAACCAACACAGCAAGAACCGATTGTGAAACAAATCTGCAGGAAGAAATGGAGGTGGATTGGCTGGCCATACTCTGAGGAAACCGTCAAGTGACATCACTAGACAAGCCATTACTCGAGTGGAACCCGAAAGGGAAGCAGCAAGTTGGTCGTCAGTGCGAGGGTGACTTGGAGGAGGTCATGTGAAGAAGAGATGAAAACGTGTGGACAGACTTGGAGACAGGTGAAGACTCTAGCAGAGTACCGAACGCAATGGAGACGCAAGGCTGAAGCCCTTTGTTCCTCTAGGAATTAAAGGATACAATAATAATAATACAGAGTTAAGTCTATCTACTAGACGACTCGCATCTTCATGATCGTCCACATATCCACAATTCATCCTCATACAATAAAATGAACCTATTATAAAATGAATTGTGAATAACACTATTGCATCGAAAGTGACTATCCTATTATAGATGTGTCTATTTTCGATAAGATCAGACTAATAAAGAACATAACAGAGGTCAGTCATATGCACGTGTATACGAAAACAAGTGAATCAGGAGACTATTAAGAGAAAAATATAAAAAAATACGATATTATAAACTTGATAAGAAGAGACGATTAGACAATTAGGTCAAAAATCCTTTTAATCTATTTCTAATCAGAATAACAGTTCAAGTTGAAGTTGAATATGTGTAAAAGCAATCAAAATAAAATTCGGCGCTCTTGATCTTCCCACACCCACACACAAACACATACACACACCAGGACACCCTCCGCACACTGGCCAGTGCATTAAAATAAACACAAATAGGTAAATAAACAAATATTATGTAAACGGCTTGTTTCATTGAATATAAAAGTGAAACACTGTCTGGTCAGTGTTCATTGAGTGAAGAAAATAATTATTAGTACAATTGGTAGTGTGAAGCCAGACAGAACTATATTAATATTTACAAAAAGTGGTGTCTGAATATGCTTTCTCCCGAGCTCTCTTAAAGAGCGTTTTGCACAAAACAAAAGACTAGACACATGATTTCATTTACTTTCGATAAAGAAAGGAAGATGAAATTTACAGTATAAAATGATATTGTCATTCTATTTCACAGGACGATCATCCTGCTTGACAAACTTACTGTTAGCTAGGGAAGATTCGGTCGAGGCCAGGGATAAAAACCATCTACTGGACGTTGTTTTTATCGATCTTAGTAAAGCATTCGATAAGGTATCCTATTTAGGTTTTCTTAGTAAAGTTAAACATTTTGGATTAGACCAACGCTTATGTGAGTGGTTTAGTGACTTTCTGATGGATAGGAGACAGAAGGTAAGGGTTAATGGTGTACTGTCAGGGTGGAAAGCAGTACTAAGTGGAGTACCTCAGGGAACTGTACCTGGCCCCCCCCCTCTGGAATTCCTATTATACGTAAATGAACTGCCAAAAATTCTTAACTCATCATCCTTACTATTTGTGGACAATATTAAGATATGGAAAACCGTAAATAGTAACGATGATAGGTTGGTACTACAAAACGATCTAGATAAATTAGCCGAATGGGATAACCTTTGGAGTCTGGAAATTAATTCCAAGAAAAGCGCGGTAATGCACCTAGGTTAGAAGTCTTACACGTCGTACTCCATGAGGGACACAGAATTGCCATATGTTAGGGAACAAAAGGACTTAGGAATTATTGTTAGCCATGACTTAAAAACAACGGCAAATTGTAATCGAGCCGCAGCTAAGGCTTTTCGAATGCTATGGGCACTTCGAAGGGTTTTCAAACGATTAGACGAGGGTATGTTCCAAGTACTCTATGCAACATATGTGAGGCCTCATCTACAGTACTGCATACAAGCGGCGAGTTCATGCTTCAAAAAGGAGGCACATATCCTGGAAAGAGTACAGAGGGTAGGAACGAAATTGGTTAGTAGTATCTCACACCTTCCTTATGATATGAGGATGGAGCATTTCAATCTCTTCCCATTATCATACCGAAGGAGGAGAGGCGACTTAATTTTGGCTTACCGTATATTCAAGGGTGATTTATGGATTGACCTTTCAAACCTTTTCTCTCCCTCTAGGATACATTTACGAGGTCACCACAAAAAGGTGCTCAAACTGAGGTTGAATAAAATACGTTTGGAGTTTAGATTCTCTCACAGAGTGGTCAACGACTGGAACTCCTTCCCTGATTCAGTAGTAACAGC